GTGGAAGAGAACTTCTGCAAAAATATCTTGCGCAAGAGCATGTCCACACTGCAAAAGCGCATTGAAAAAGTGATGCACTTTTGCTCAAGAGAGCGTCCAGACTGCATGGACACTCTCTCGAAAGAAAGCACTGATAGCTATCCACAGAATGGCCACTAGAGCACCTGTGCTTTTTTCTATAGGGTTTTTTTGTGCAAAAAGAGGCAGTTCCCTGTCCACGCACACTCGTTGAAAGAGGAATAACTATTGCGCAAAACCCTCTCTCTTCTTTTGATTTTTTTGCGCAAAACCTGCTTGAGGTGTGGACGCGCCATGAGTTTTTCCGCAAACACTCTGTAGTGTAGACATAGCCTCCTTGTCAGTTATAGAACCATCTTGGAGGGTTGGGGGATCTATTTGATAATCCCGCCAGCTCCTAAATAACCTTAGTCTCCGAAGTTCAAGACCCCATGAATTCCCTCAATTTATAGAATCATAGACTCATAGATCACAGGGCTGGAAGAGACCTCAGGAGGTTATGAGTCCAGCTCCCTGCACAAAGCAGGACCAACCCCTCTTCATAGATCCCTTTCTGGCAGACAGCGCCTCTTTCTGGAGGGATCCCATATGAATTTAGTCATTTATCTTGCCTCAGGGTTTAAGGGGGCAGAGATCAGGGAAGATAATGGAGCAGGTAATTAAGGAAATCATATGCAAACACTTGGAAGGTGTGATAAAGTGATAAGGAATAGCCAGCATGGGTTTGTGAAGAACAAGTCATGCCAAACTAATCTGATAGCTTTCTTTGATAAGATAACGAGCCTTGTGGATAAGGGAGAAGCGGTGGATGTCATATACCTAGACTTTAGTAAGGCATTTGATACGGTCTCGCATGATATTCTTATTGATAAACTAGGCAAATATAACTTAGATAGGGCCACGATAAGGTGGGTGCATAATTGGCTGGATAACCGTAGTCAGAGAGTTGTTGTTAATGGTTCTAAATCCTGCTGGAAAGGGATAACAAGTGGAGTTCCTCAAGGGTCTGTTTTGGGACCCGTACTGTTCAATATCTTCATCAATGATGTAGATATTGGGATAGAGAGTACGCTTATTAAGTTTGCAGATGATACCAAACTGGGTGGGGTTGCAACTTCTTTGGAGGATAGGGACATAATTCAAAATGACCTTAGCAAGTTAGAGAAATGGTCAGAGGTAAACAGGATGAGGTTTAATAAAGAGAAATGCAAAGTGCTCCACTTAGGAAGGAACAATCAGTTCCATACATACAAGATGGGAAGCGACTGTCTAGGAAGGAGCATGGCGGAAAGGGATCTAGGGGTCATAGTGGACCACAAGTTGAATATGAGCCAACAGTGTGATGCTGTTGCAAAGAAAGCAAATATGATTCTAGGTTGTATCAACAGGTGTGTTGTAAGCAAAACTCGTGAAGTCATTCTGCCGCTCTACTCTGCACTAGTTAGGCCTCAGCTGGAGTACTGTGTCCAGTTCTGGGCGCCACATTTCAAGAAAGATGTGGAGAAATTGGAAAGGGTACAGAGAAGAGCGACAAGAATGATTAAAGGTTTAGAGAACATGACCTATGAAGCCAGGCTTCATGAACTGGGCTTGTTTAGTTTGGAAAAAAGAAGATTAAGGGGGGACATGATAGCGGTTTTCAAATATCTAAAAGGGTGTCGCAAGGAGGAAGGAGAAAATTTGTTCCTCTTGGTTTCTGAGGACAGGACAAGGAGTAATGGGCTTAAAGTGCAGCAGGGGAGGTTTAGATTGGACATTAGGAAAAAATTCCTAACTGTCAGGGTGGTCAAATATTGGAATAAATTGCCAAGGGAGGTGGTGGAATCTCCCTCTCTGGAGATATTTAAGAACAGGTTAGATAGACATCTGTCAGGGATGGTGTAGACGGAGCTTGATCCTGCCTTGAGGGTGGGGGGCTGGACTCGATGACCTCTCGAGGTCCCTTCCAGTCCTATTATTCTATGATTCTATGATCTCTGAGGGTAATGGCCTTTCCAGTATCCATTTATAACAGAACAAGGAGAACACCAAGGCTACGCCTACACTGCAGGCTTTTTTGTTCTTGCACAAAAGCTTGCTGGGTGCACACGTGTTCTTGCGCAAGTAAACTTACAGTACAGCGTCAGAAAACAGGGTTTCTTCCAGAGGAGTTATTCCTCTCCCCATGAGGAATAAGCCCTCTTGCGCAAGAGCTCTTCCACAAGAAGGCAGTGTAGACAGGCAACATGATTTTCTTGCGCAAGAAAGCCCTATGGCTAAAATGGCCATGCGAGCTTTCTTGCACAAGAGAGCATCCACACTGCCATGGATGCTCTTGCGCAAAAGCAGATGGCAGTGTGGACATGCTCTTGTGGAAGACCTTTTGCACAAGAACTCTTGCACAAAACAGTTCTTGCGCAAGAAACCTGCAGTGTAGACATAGCCCAACAGTGGGGAGGAGGGAGAAATAGTCCCATCCATCCCCTGCTTAAGACAGAGCGGTAAAAGCAGCCAGAGAGGGGTGGTGCCATGTGGAACTACCTGTAGCCAGCAAAACCGCCTTGCTGAGTGAAACTCCCTTTTATTCAGAAAGAACCCCTCGATTCCCCTCCCCCAGTAGGAAGAGACCAGGGTCACCCCAGCTCGCGCTGAGACGAAGGACAGTGGCTGGGAAGGAGCAGAGAACAGACCCTGGCTCCCTTTAAGGCCTCACAACCCGGCCTGGTTCACGCATCCCAAATGAAGCACGTGTGTTCCCGACAGGCCCAGGGGAGCAGCTGCCCGCTGCGCCCCAGCTGTGCGTGTCAGCGCTGCAGAGCATGCCGCGTGCCAGGCACGGGACAGATCCCGGCGGGCGCTGCAGGGGCCGGGGGGAGGTCTCGCTGGGTCAGGCGAAAAGGTTCAAATCGCAGCCATGAAACCAGGGTTAGTTCTCCCGGGGGAACTGCGGCTGGTGTGGAACGGAGCAGCCGCTGCTTTGGCTCCTGTTCCCGACAGTGCCAGACATCAACATTCATATGTTGACAAACAACACCCCCTAAGGGGGGTTGCCCTTTGATTGCTTCTAGACTTACATGTCTTGGCTGGGGGGGGGGGCAGGTGGGAATTCGGGGGGGAGGGCTGCTCTGATGTGGCTGGGTTAGCAATTTAAAGGAATAAATAGGCTGGAGGGGGCGGGGAGTGATCAGAAAGATTCGGAGTAGGGCTGGGAAGAGCTGGGGTTTGGGCACTCCTGCCTCGCCGAGGAAGCTTGCCCTGCCCAGAATTTGTTAGGCGGTGAGACACTAGTTTTGGGAGGGAAAGGGAGCGTCTCCTTCTCCCACCCATACCCCAATGGAGCCACGTGGTTGCCCCCGTCAATAAACTTTGTTTCCCTTGCTCGGATGCTCTGGACGTCGTTTGCAGACTTTCCTGGTTTAAATGTGTTTACTGGGACCAAGGAGACAATCGGATGTCGTTGTCAAAGGAGCCACGCTGTTGGGGGAGGGGGGCGAATACAAAGGAAGAGCAAACGTGTAATTGTCACACAAGAGCAAACCTGTCAGTGCATGTGTGGGCAAAAATGGTTAGTCTAGAAAATTAGGCTAATACCAAGCAGTTCGGTCATTTATTTGCAAAGCTGATACGCAAATAAATGTGTTTTATTGTAGGTCAGTCAACTCGATGACAGGAGGTGACGTTTAGAGGTTAATTTATACCTGGTGCAAACTGGTTTGTAATTCACTGTTTTAAACAAACTCTTTAGCGTTCAGCAGACTTCTGAGAGATTGTCTTACAAGCATGAGCTCAGCGGGGGAGGGGCGGGAGGAGAGAGGGTGAGTTATGAAATTGCAACGTGTCTCAAACCCTCCAACTGATTCAGCTTCCCTGCGCACACGCACCCATGGCCGAAAAACAGTGAACTTAAAGCAGTCCTCCTGGCCGCTTGTTCTCTGAACTATGAGCCTGGTCAGAGAGAAATTAAATCGGAAGCATGGGAAATTAGATGAAGTGTTTTTTTTCTCTTTACTACTCTTAGACTAAAGAACAGTTACAGGTATAGAATGAGAAGGTGACTAATGTAATTAACCTGCTGTTTGTAATGATACTGCTCAGGAGGCGGGAGAGGATGATGGCATGCTTTCATGTATGTTACATTGTGCAATACTGACATGTTTTCCAATTCGGTACTAACGAGTTAGGTCTGACCCAGGAAACGTAGGTACAATGAACTACTCTGACTTCAACCAATGCACCTTTCTGTCAGATGTCGACATGAAAGGGGCATTGTGTTTTGAGATCAGGGAGTTCAATGTGCAGCAACTTTTTCCAAAAGCCCTTTTCATTGCTAATCTTTTTCAAAATGTCTGTTTGTTGGAGCAGCATTTGGTATTCCACGGAAAGCTACAAAGAGAGAGAAAGACACCCAGAGATTCAGACACGATTGGTTAGGTAAAGACAAAGAAATGAGAAGGAGGGAGGGAGTGTGGAAAGCCCACTATGTAACTCGTAGCCAGCCCGAGAATAATGGAGACCAAGCGCGTTTTAAAAAATAAATTTTAATTACCCTTCCACGTTACATTTCCCCCGTCTCCTGGGAAGAGAAACGGCTGATTGAAGTTTGGTGCTGGTCTAACTGTGATGTGAGGGTTGTCTTTGGAGCGCTGGGCACGTATAGCTGGAATGCGAAGGAGGCTGGGCTGAGAGCGAGCGAGCGAGATCCAGCTACGCCTTTCTCTCGGCTCCTAAAGCCTAGGGGAGTTACCATTTCAGGGTTCGGAAGAAGAGGGGTAAAACCAGGAAAGGACAAGTGGGAAGGCTAAACACCCCCGCCTCTTCCCTTCCTGCTCCTCTGAGCAGAGCAGGGCCACTCACATTTGTAGACACGGGGGGGGGGAAGGATATAGGAAGTGGAAGCGCTTGCCCACCCCCCACCCCTCAGTTTCCCATCATCATCCCGGTCAAGAGGTACAGGAGCTGTTCTTCAGCACCGCGGAGAAATCGGTGCGGGGGAGCTAAGTAGGTGGGAGAGGAACTAACAAGGGAGGAGAGACAGAGGCAGCAAATCCTGCAGCAAGGCACTGGTTCCCTTATTTTCAGAAGCTTTGCCAAGAGGAGGAGGGAAATCCGTCTCGATTCTCTGGGAGAAACCCCCTCCCTTGCCCACTTTACCAACAACAACCGCTGCTGCTGTGGGGGAAAGCCATGGAAGGCAAGACCTTAGCACCTGTACAGCTGAAATCAAGGGATCACAGTATACTGAGAAGTCTGGTTTGGTGGTAGGAAAAAAGAAAGGACGAAAACTAAGGAATCTGAACCCAAAAAAAGAACCAGCCACCAAAATCCAAGGAAGATAACTGAGAAGAAAAAGGATTTTCATGGCGCAGGCTGCAGAGCTAAGCAAGAAGCCTGAAGGTTGCATCTCTGCTCTTACAATCTCTAACTGTCTAGGTCCAGATAATGAGAGATTGTGTTGAGGATGCTGCTGCTGCTACTGCTGCTCCCCTGTTCACTGTGGAAGCCATCTCCAAATTAGCCATTACATATGGAAACTGGAGACCAGAATTTTAGAAAAAGGGATTAAGGCATCTAATTTTGGGGGGGTTCTCTCTTTATTATTTTTTGTTCTTTTCTTTTTTTCCTTTTTCTTTTTTCCTTTATTTTTATATGACAACCGGAACGTTTCTGATTTAAAAGGCAAGCCTCTTCCCGTGTGGTCTTTATAATTTACACTGTTTTCCGTGGGCTTTCTTACCTCCCTTTTTGATATCTCTCTATATATACCCATTATATTAGTAGTGGAATTATTATTTTATTAACACACACACCCCAAGAATCAGAAGGCGGTTGGGTATTTGTATAATGAAGAATTATGGGGCTCTTTGACAGAGGTGTTCAGATGCTTTTAACCACCGTTGGTGCTTTCGCTGCCTTCAGCCTGATGACCATAGCTGTGGGGACCGACTACTGGCTTTACTCCAGAGGGGTTTGCAAGACTAAAAGTGTCAGTGAGAACGAAACCAGCAAAAAGAACGAGGAAGTCATGACCCATTCTGGATTATGGAGAACCTGCTGCCTGGAAGGTATTTGATTCCGGACCCCCTCCCTCCCCAAATAAATCTCTCCACGTTCCACCATTTTCTCACTTCATGCTTTCCACCGTGGAACCAGGGTGGTTGGGTTAGTTGCCGAGGAAAGAAAAGGCTATTCGAGGGGGGAAACATGCTGTCTACTCTCTTCCTTTATCCTTTCCTTCTCCCCCCCTTCAAAAAAAATCTCTCCTAATTGGAGTAATCTATGCAATGTGCACACATCAAGAGATCCTGTTAAAATCAACTGTGTGATCCGCCTCTTTCCGGATCATTATTGCCTGGGAAAGCAAGCGAAATGCTACATAACTGGTGCACTGTTGGCTATAATAGCAGAGTCAAATAATTGCTCTCCTTTGCAAATTGCTTTGATGATCATAAGTCTGGGAAGTGAGAAACATGCAAAACACCTCATAGGTAAATATCAAGTTCCCTTGCTGGAGGGGGGGGACACACCTAACCCCCAATCTTGTTATGTCTAAGCAGCCTGATTTGGAAAACCCTAATGATTGCGCTCGGCTCAAGCAGAGTTCAAGAGCATTTCGTAATGTCTCTGAACAGCCACACGCTGCTGGGGTGGGTTTTGTTTTTGCGGGGATTTTTCTCCCCCGCCTGTGTGTTTGTTCTCTTGAAAAGGTTGCTGCAAAGGCTAAAAATAAATAAGTCTTTTGAACAGAAAACCAGTCTGAGCATAACGTGGGGAAACTAAACAGTAACTCGGCGCTCACAGACAGGGGCATGTCTGATGGCAACGAGAGAACCGGCACTGCAGCCAGTTCCTGGACTCAGACGTGGGGGGCGGAGGAGGGGGGAGAGGAAGAGGCAGCGATTTGCTTTGGAATCTGTGTTGTTTAGGGTTGCTCTTGGTGTCTGTGTGCATTGGGGGAGGGATGGTCTGAAAATTACCTCCTGGCAGGAGAGGGCCACTAATGCGACTGTGTGGTGGAGGGAGGGAGACACACAGCATTTCAGCGGACCGTAAAACCGTGTTTTAAAAGGCTAGACTTTAAGCAGAAGGGGTCGATTGGGGGTGGGGACCTACACAGCGAATGTGCATGTATGAACATGTCTCCACGGGTCCACCGAATTAGCCTGGATCGCTCCGATGAGGAGGAACGGGCAGTGGATTCCGCAGAACTGGTTTTCTAAAACCAGCCCTGGAGGCTTGGGGGTGGGGAGGCAATACACTGTGTATGTCCTAATGTCTCCCACCAAGCCAGGCTAACGCGGCTGTTTGGAAAGGGTTGTGGTCCGGGAAGAAGCGCGAACGCCCCCTCCCTCCCAGTTCTTGGTGCAAACGGTTGAGTGATGGCTGGACATGTTTTGAATAGCTAAGTGACTTCATTGAGCGATGCTCTGTTTGACGCATACTGCATTTGGTGCCCTTTCTCAATCCAAAGCGCTGCCTTCTCACACACTCTGCAGAGGAGCTCTATGCTGAATACTATATGCCAGCTCCCAGCCAGGAAATCAATCGCGGCAAATTAATCGGGGAGGGTTGAAACACCCCTCCCTTCCCCCACCCTAAACCCCCGCCGTAATGAAGAGCCTCCCCGGCAGCTTTCATACCCACCGGAGCAAGAGACGGCTCCTCCGTGAAGCGCTGAGCAGAGCCCTTCGCGGGGAAAGCTAAGCAAAGCGGAGCCAGGAAGGCAGCTCTAGGGGCAAGGAGCCGCTGAGGTGCCCGGGCGAAGAGGGAGATAGAGGCGAGAGACAGGGAAAGCAGGGCACGGGTGGAGGAAATGTTGTGTGTGTGTGTGTGTGTCCGCAGGCACGTATCTATGGCTACAATGGGGTGGGGAGCAGGAGGTTGTATTTGTCCCCCACTTTTGACAGGACCTCGAAAGGCACGGGGGCCACATGTCCCGAGCTGGGACCACCGGTAGATTACACGCAGTGGGCTATTTGCCGCTAAAAGATCGTAATTGTCCCCCCCCTCCTGTGGTGACCAGACCTCCAAATATTAGGGACTTTGTCTTATTTGGCAGTTAAACCCTGCCCCTTGGAAAAAATAAGTATTCACATTTTTCGCACTTGTTCTCCTGTCACCTCCGCCCCTCCCCCCCATCCCCAAAGGTGCCATCAGCCCCTTGCACGCCCTCACTAATATGCTCTCCGTCTCCCTCCCTCGCTCTGGGCATGGGCTGCAAGGGTTGGAAAGTGCAGCCCTGCACCTGGGGCGTGAGACACAGACAGACAGACAGATGACTTGGCCCCCTGCAGGACCCCCAGCCTCAGCCTGTGCTGGTAGGGCTGAGAGCCCTGCTCCTTAGCAAGAATCAGCCCCCCCTCCCCCTCCCTTGTATTGCTCTGCCACCAATCCTGGCAGCACTTGTTGTATTGCTCTGCCACCAATCCTGGCAGCACTGTGATGGGCAAAGGGGGTATTTTACAATCCTAACACTAGGAGGAATTGGCCTGTGCTGGGACAACTCAGCAGTGCCTCATGCTTCCCTAGGACTGGCCTTCCCGCAGGGATTAGTGTGGGGTTGGATTTCTTTTCCTTCCCCCTCCCTAGCTGAAGAGGTTTTGAAATCTCCTTGTCAAGCGGCTGCCTAATGGCCGCAAATGAAAAGCAACTTTGTGTTTGCTTCTCATCTCTCTGGGGGTTTTATTAGTGAGGTTGGATTCCCTCCCCTTCCTGGAGAGAGAATCAGAAATGCTTCCCTCACTCAGAATATTTGAGAGCTCGCTGTTTGGGGGAGAAGGCCTGTCCCCTCCTTCCCCACAGAGTTCACTGGGAGCATGGCACCCAGGAAGAGGAAAGGCTAAGATCTCACCTGGGACCTAGAATAGAGGATCCTGACAGTCCCTTCTGACCTCACCATTCTGTGAACTGCAGGATGAGTGGAAAGGGCAAAAATGGCCCCATGCCTGGAAACCCCCCACATCTACAGGGTGCTGGTACACTGTAGTGAGACACACTCACCAGAGGGTAGGAGTTTTTCTAGCAACTTCAGTGGGCTTGGGTCCCTCCTGTGAGATGAGGAGAGACCAGTGGTATGTGAGCAGCTACACGGCTGGAGACGTGAGGAAGCAATCGGTGTTTGTGCTCTGCTTACTGACAGACAGATGCTGGCCAGGCCACAAGCAGGAGGGAGTTGCCTGGGGCTTCCAAGGATTCAGTGAAATCTGGGTGGGAGCTAGAGAGTGGTGGAGAAGTGATGTAGTAATATCTTATGGTTGTTTTTTTTCTTGTACCCCAATGGATGCGTCTCTTCTGGGTTCCTTCTGTTTCATCAATCAGTTACCACCTAGAGCTCCCTCCTCTTTCTTGCCCCTATCTACCTCTCCAGTACTTATACGGCCCAGTGACTGTTGTATCAGCCTCCATGTTCATTCTGCTTTTGGCTCTCTCCACTCATTCTGCTCCCTGCAGTGATCCACCTCTCCCATCCTCATCCTGCGGTAAGAGGGAAATTTAGTATCTCTGGCCAAGATTTCCAAAAGTGGTTAGTTATTTGGGGGAAGCGGGAGCGTGCTTTTCAGAGGCACTTTTGGAAAATCGAGTCTCTTTAAGCTGTCTGAAGTTAGGCACGAAAATATTCAAGCGCTCAAAACCACTAGTACCTTTTGGAAATCTTGTCCCTTTGTTCCACTTCTTTAAGACAGTAGTTTGGTTTCCTGCAATGGACTTTCAACCTTATACTGGAGGTCCTTCTATGCTGGAGTGATTCCACTCGCAATCTTCTTTCATGGCAGAGGGTCCTTGCCCCTTTTCTGCCAGCCCACCAATAAGCTCCTGTGTGTAAAGTGCCAGACTAGTGATGCTTTTTGATCTTCCTCCAGGTACCTCTCTCTCTTTCTCGTAGAGCTTCTCTGTCAAAGCAATTTCCCATGTCACTCAAGAATCTTTGTGCTGGTTTTCTTAACAGGTCAGAGACCAACTCTTCCAATATAAAAACCCCGCACACTTTTTAAATTGCTCACTCACCTACCAAACAGCTGAGATCTGCAAACTCCCTGCACCTATGGATCTGCCACTACTCAACACCTTTTCTGCCTTTAAGAAAGTTGCTGATCCTCCAAACCATTTTCCTCTTTGCATACACCCTTCGTATTTGTATTATTCTGAGTAATACTTCTGTTCTAACTGTAGATTTCCTTTACTAAGGACGAATTTAATCCTCCCTTTATAGAATCTTACAAACTGAAAGACAGTAGCTTATTGGGGCCTTATGAAGGCTAACAGTATGTTAAGAACTATTAGGAAAGTACTAGAAAATAAGACAAAAATATCACAGTGCCACTGTATAAAACCAGACTGTGCCCACACCTTGAAGTTCTGGGTGCCCCGTCTCAAAAAGGATATAGTGGAACAAGAAAAGTTTGACAGAAGGGCTGTAAACATGATATAGTGAGTAGAACAGCTTCCATCTCAGGGGAGATGTAAAACATTAGTGTTGTTCAGCTTAGAAAAGAAAAGTAAAGGGCTGGGAGGATATGATACAGGCCTATACAATCCTGAGAAAGTGAATTAAGAAGTGTTATTTACCCTTTCACACAGTACAAAAAACAGGGGTCACCTGATAAAATTAAAGGTAGCAGGTTTAATACAAACACGAGGAAATACTTTTCCACACAATATACAACTCACCTGTGGAACTCATTGTGCTGGGATGTTGTCATAGCTGACAGTATAACCAGGTTTACAAAAGAACTGAATAAATGCCGGGAGAATAGGTCTATCAATGGCTATTACCCAAGATGGCCAGTAATATAATCCCATGCTCAGACTGACTTTAAACCTCTGACTAGCAGAAGTGGAAGATGGGTGGATCATAATTGCCCTGTTCTGTACAATCCCCCTGAAGCTCTGATACAGATGCTGGGTAAGATGGACCATGGTCTGACCCGGTATGACAGCTCTTATGTTCTTAAATAGAAATGAGCTGTATTTTGTATTTCTCTATTGTTATTGGCTCTGTCATGTCTTTATTATTAGAAAAGGGACAGCTCTTGGAGGCTTTTTTACACTGGGGAGGAAGGAGAAA